AAAAAGAGAAATAATAATAATAGAAATAAAAATAAATGATAACAACAAAATGAGCTAACTAAAACTGCCGCTGTGGCATCGACAGCAATAGCCGACAATTTTCCGTTTTTTTTTTTCTTTCTTGAACGCGTTGCGAAGGCTCTACTCAATGAATCGCGGTCACGCTGTGCCCTTCACGCCACTTGCACAATTCAACAAGATTTTTTGAATTTCTTTCTAACAAGAAACCAAAATGAAGCACAGTCATGTAGTGTAAGAACTTTGACTTGAGATTAGTATGGGAACACCTCTGAGACACTACCTTTCCGATGCAAAAAGAATGATCGAAATCGGTTGACGTGGTCCAAAGTTATGCGGTAACATACATAAAAAAAAATATTCCGACGAACTGATAACCTCCTCTTTTGTTGGAAGTCGGTTAAAAAAAAATCACCAAAACTTTATTTTGTTCAGAATATTTATAAAAATTGCAGGTATGAAGTTCGACAGCCCAATAAATTTTAGTGTAATAAAGTGCAAGTTTGAAGGAGCGAGAATTCGCGTTGATTTAAATTTCTGTGCGGACACACTTTAATCATAAGGAAAAAATGGACAAAAATTTTATAACTGCATGCCCGGCATTTTTCTAAAACTTCAAAATATTTTTTTTTTTTAGATTTTGTGAAATTTGTTTTTTTTTTTTTAATTAGTATTGTAAATTTCCTTTTGCGGGAATCCTAAAATTATTTTCGAGTTTTTATTATGTATTAAAGCTGCCTTTACACGGGTCGGTTTCTGCCGACTGGAAAATCGACTAGCCAAAACATTTATATTTTACGGATGAATTGCCATTTATACGGGTCGATTTTGGTTGAACGGAAAAAGGGAGCCTAACAGGAATAGGAAAATCGATTTTCTTCAGAATTGCTGCTATCTGTGCACTTTGCACAAAAAAATTTATATAAATAAATTAAAATTCAAAAGCCGGGATTAATGAGCCTCTTCTAAATTTGATTGGCTCTAAAATTAGTTGCACCTTTTTTGACAGATATCCTATTGAAAATTCTCTCATTTTGACTATAACAGCGAAATTTCATTATAAAAAAAAATTATAAAACCGGTTGAAAAATTTAGACTCTGAACTACAGCAAATTCCAGTTTTGGATCACTATGCGGCGGCTGTTTACTTTAGCGGTTGTGGTCGGGGTAAGAATTCAAAATATTTTTATTATAAATTTTTTTATAATATGTGTGACTCAAGTAAGTAAGTATTTTCTCGGATTTAACATGGACTTCAAAGAGAAAATTGGAGCATAAAGAAAAATTGAACATACATTGTCATTTTGTTATCATATATCTCCAGCTTCAAAAGGCAAAAAAAATGGTAACCCACTCATTATGTAAATATTTACTTTAATTTGACACCTTCCAGAAAAACCCATTAGTTCTGTGAATGCAAATAAATACTTATTTGCACATTGCTTTCAAATAAAAATTTATTACCTATGAATATTAAGATGCCGGAAAAGGCTTTGGTATATGCTTTGTTTATTTGGAAATAGCTATGCTCGTATTTATATCATACCTGCATACTATATACATTATGGTGGTCCAAAAATGCATGTATAGCAAAGTATAGTCGGAATCTCAATGCTCTCTCTCCCTAGGATTGTTTTATGTCGAAAAATATACCACTATTTTTGAAGTGAAATTTCTTTAGCAGCGGTTGGTTGGTTGGGAGTAAATTGGCAAATTCAACGGAAATTGCACATGGAAATGGTGCAACGGAAATGGGTGGGACGGAAACAAGTGCTGCTTGAATGTATGTTATTAATTTAACAAAAGCTTGCTAATAAAAGGTTAAAGAATAACACTTGGAAAAAGACCAATGCAAATGAATGAAAGTAAAGGTGAGTGCGTACATAGATAAAGAAAAGGATAAAGGCAAAGGTAAAAATAAATAAAAATAAAAACAAATACAAAGGTGCGTAAAGATAAAGGCAAAACTGAAGACCAAGGTAAATTTAAACACTTTACTTATGTATATAAGGGCAAAGGTGAGGGGAAATATGTAGATGAAGAAAATTACAAACATAAATGATAAACAAAAGTAAAAACAAAGATAAGTATAAAGAAAAAGATGAAGATGAGGATACCGATAAAAGTAAAGATGAAGATAGAGGAAGAAAGATTAAAACAAAGGTAATTATAGAGAAAATGATATCGATAGAGACACAGAGACTCAATCTGGGATTTTAGAGATTGTCGGGATTCTCGGGACTTATCGATATAATAATCGATATTTTTATCGGTTTTGTTATCGATATTGCTATCAATTCTGTTATCGATTATTTAATTTTTTTATAGTAACTTTAATTTATTGGTCCGTAAAAAACCCCAAAAAAATGCAATCGGGGCACCAATAAAAAGTCGTGAATATTAAAAAATGGTCAAATAAACAATGGGGTATTATTATTGGAACTCTTCTAAAGACAACCGATTGAAAAATATTGATTTTGAAGAATTCCATGCCATTTTTATGAAAACTTGTTTTTTATCATATAAAATATATGGAAAACTTTGAGCGCTTTGAGCGATCTCTAAACATTTTTTTTATTTCAAAATAAGAAATAGGGGTATATTTTTTCGTCATAGAACAATCCTAGGGGTGTGAGCATAAAAAATCCGACTTTACTCTTTTTGGACCACCGTAATGTATATACGAGTATGGACCTACGTAATCCAAACAAACTACAAGAAAAAAGGCAGTTATGTATATAGATTTTTTAGTTTTCCAACTACGACCCTATTTTTTGCAGAAAATAATTTTAAACACTAATTCCTACACCGAAAGAAAAGTCTCATGTAAAATTAACATTTCGCATTATCAATTTTATAT